TGTTGGTGATGAAATATTTCATTTGTTGAAAACTCAATATACATATATATAATATAATGATACTATATCTTGAAAACAAGAGCTAATATATAATTTTTATGGTCACTTTCGGTTTTAACACGTGGAAATACATTAAAATCATCTAATTTCAACCCCGAAACAGAAACTTTGTTGTGTTGTGTTATTGTTATGAAGTTTTGTTTTTAGAATAACTTTGAGTGATGACGTTTAAATTTTCTGTTCAATTAGAACTTTCAGTCCAATAAAAAATTAACTGAGTTGAATCTGACGAGTTATTAAATGAAAGTCATTAAATTGATATAGCATGTTTATTCCATATATTCCTCCAGTTTTTACTCAAAACTTAGGGCTTTTTGAAATGGGATCATTATCATCGTTCATGAAACTCTTCCCAACTCTTCATCGAACCTTTTTGGGTATTTTTCATCTTCCACAATATGAAATGGATGAAAATCGTAATGGAGAACTTAATGAAGTGTAGTTCACTCCGATAAGTTATTGCAAAATTCAAGGTATGTCCACAAAGAAAAATGTTCTATTCATCAGTAACTTGTCGTAATGAACAGATACTCATCTCAACGTTTCGAATGCTAAAACCTGCCTCCGTATTTAGCATTGAAAAAATCTAATGTAATGCAGATACTTCTCCGGTTCGCTTTCTTTTCAAATAAACATATTGTTAATTGACTTCTGAAACAATTGATGTAGTACAAGGTGTTCTTTGATATAAGTCAAATGCGATTTCCTCACTTTCTATATCTTTCTTCAAGATGGACAGCCAAGTACAATCCATTTCTAAGGAGCTATTTCAAAGCCCAATAAACTTTTCTGAAGACTTAGTAATCATTCTCTTCTTGTTCTTTTCAACTCGATGTTTACCATCTGTTTTCAAAATAAGTTATGACAAATTTGAACCTGTTGATCGTTTGATCCTGGGGCAATCTCGATATCCATTCTCACGCACTTTTAATGGTCTTAAAGTTTCACCAAAACAACCTCTACCACCAAAAACATTTTTAATTTTTAAAAATACTTAGAATTTACGCAGTAACTTATCATCGGGCTGAAATGTTTGCCCTTTCTACACCTGTGGTCAGTGAAAATACCCAAATGAAGGTAGATGAAAACACTGATTTTGTCCTCAAAAATGACTTCCATTCAATACCTAGTTGCCTTGCAGTGAAAGATAGGACGAATCACGTTCGGCGTTCGATGTCAACGAATGTCTTCGCAACTGACAGTCTTGTGGAACCTCGTTTATCTCTGATACTCATGGTTTGAGTCTTTTGTCGATACGCCAGTTGGTGTCTTCGTAGGGGGAGACGTCATTACCCACTTTCAGGCTTGTTCGTTTCTAGGCAGTTGAGTGGTTTCACCCAAGCAATACTGATGAGACCTCGAAGGGTCGAAACAGCGTTTTCCGGTGTACCGTTAGACCTGGTAATATCCACAGATGCAGGTGTGATGACAACTACATTATTAATAAACGTCTGAGACGAATTCAAATCCTGAATAGGAAAATTTTGAAAATAAGATGTGAATTATCTTCTGTTGTTTTTTATAGTGATTTATAGCTGTATTACGACGACATCAGACTGCGGAAGCCTAGTCAATTGCCACTGACTGGTAAAGTCTGTTAAATTTTTTCAATTTCCTGAATTTCAGATGTAGGTCGCCGTTTTTGAAATCTGTTAGTTTTGTCTATTTCACCTTCATCTTCATTAATTTTTGATTTCTAGGATTCATTCGAATCGTCGTTCGTATGAAGATTTCAATATTCTCCATGACAATAAATTGAGTGCTCTTGTCCACTTATAATTCAGTCTAAACCACAGCCCACAAACTGAAGCATTCATGGTACAAGTTCAGAGAGCACTGTTCTGATCCGCAGTAGGTCTCTTTAGTGGTGCTGGATCGAACCGAATACTTTGTTCTATTCTACTAATCTCAAAAGATAAGACTTTAAGTAAGTATGGGGTCTCTCATTGAACGCTTTCTATCTTTAAATACTTTTTATTTTTTATATTCGGTCGAAAGACCCATTGATGATATTGTGTGTGGAATATAACATCGTTCAAATGCCCGCNTTTAATTTACGTTTGGTTAGTTATATCTTATGTGATTGTATTAAAAAAAGTAAAAACAATTGAACGTTTTTTTCGAATTATAAAGCATGTTCTGTGAGCTCCAGCACATATATGTTGTCAGCTTGGTCAGTCCGAATCTTTTATAGAAGGCCATATCATCCATCTTCTCGGAATAGTTGGGCCTTCTAAAAATTCTTCGTGGATATCCAAAATTAATAATGTGTAAGATGCCATTATCAGTTTCCAGCATGATTTCATCTTCTAGTTCTATCATTCTGCACAAGTCCGTTTACTGAAACATTTCAGCAAAATGACACTTACATTATTTACAAAACTCAAGAATAAAAGGTGAGGTTGTGATATAAAGCTTGGCTTTACATATAAAGCCACCGAATTTTTCCGCTTATATTTAAGCGAATTTAAAGGCGATTGAGGATACGGTGCATACAAAACTGAAGCGTTAAGACAGCTTACCTCTCAAGCTTGGCTTACTGGTATACGGCGAATACGGGCAAAAACAACTAGAAACTGTGAACGAAATTCAAAAAACATATTTATGACATATTTCATGGTTTTGATTTCATCCACTATTTTTTCCAGACTGAGCTAACTTCCAGGATAGGTATCACGAATACCACCTACACCTAAAAAGGTTTTGATTTTTTTCGTTCAGTTCTTACTATTTTCTGCAATCGCTGTACACAAACTAACACGCTTTACACAATGCCAGTATTTTCCGACGACATGTCAAATTTTCCTTTAGTGAATTGGCATATTTCATAATTAATTTATGTCTATTAGAATACTTGAAATTGAAAATTCTGTTGTAGAATTTAACAACAAAACTCTTCTCAACTATCTTCTGATGGTAATCATTTGATTCGTTAAATTTTGATTGAGAGTTTTTTTAATTCATTCAAGGAAATTTTGACACGTTATTAACAATTTTAGACTCCTTACAAAGGTTTTGGATATTATAATTTAGGCTTGTACTGCTGCATAATTCTTCAAATCAAAATTTTGCTAAACTGATGAGTGATGAGTTATCATTTTCGCTTGGATTATGGGGTTTCACGTAAACCGTTTGTAGAAAATCTACTGTCAAATGTATGGCTGAATTTTGTTGATAGAAATATTATGTAATACTAGCTTTTACTCGCGGCTTCGCTCGTATTTATGGCATTAAATAAGTGTCAGNAATATTATGTGCCGCAATATGAGAACTATATTTTAATGGTTGGCCGGGATTATCAATTTTTTAAAAATTATTACATACGATGAAGTTTCGAAAATTTAAAATGTGCTTTTTTGAATTGCAACAACAAATGTTGAAATATATTTCACTGTAACAAAAATAACCTAACCTAACCTAACCTAATAAATATATAAAAATTCCAAACAGCTGAAACTATAGTCAATTTTTGAAAAACAATTTTTTTATCTTACATATTTTTTTTAAGTATTCTATGTTACTTCTAATACCTCCAAAAATATTTGTACAAAATTTCATGATCATCGGTTGGATAGTTTTTGCGTGAAACCGTAACAAACAAAGTTACATTCGCATTTATAATATTAGTAGGGAGTAGGGATTCACGATGCACAATTGATTCCCCGTTCAACAGATTTTGACAAAACTCAAGAGTACAGGAAAATTTGTGAATGATTTTTCATCCTTGCTGGAGGGTGAGGACTGTTAGAAAAGTACAATAGAATAATCGATCCACTGAAACTGGTTTGAAAGATCAACGTTCATTCTTGACTTTTCATGAAACACAAGATAATTTTATATTCGGGATATTTTTGACACAAAAATTCATCGGGCATTTCAATCTTAGAAAATGATATTTATCCCTCAAGAATTTTTTGTTCTTCCAATGAAATTTTTGATCCACTGAGACTGGTTTGAAAGATCAGCGTTCATTCTTGACTTTTCATGAAACACAAGATAATTTTATATTCGGGATATTTTTGAAACAAAAATTCATCGGGCATTTCAATCTTAGAAAATGATATTTATCCCTCAAGAATTTTTTGTTCTTCCAATGAAATTTTTCCTTCAGATACTTCATCACTTATGAATGATATTTTATTTTCATCATATCAAAATGCCCGAAACTGATAATGAGGTACTGAAATTATTCAAAAGAAACTCAAAAATGAGTTCTCTGTTGAACCCCATAGTATACCAAAATGTATCATAAAAGACATGAATTCAAGTGATACCAAAGTGGGAGTGAGGGCTTAATATTAGGCCCTATTTCATCAGGCCAATGACCCGGTAATATTTCATCCCAGTGTACAGTTTACAGCCTATACGGATTAAACATCCCAATTAATAACTTCCAAAAATTATATAAAGATATGTTATTGAAAATAATCTTCCGGCAATAGTAACATTCTTTCTATTTTGTAACGAATCTGAAGCCGCCCCTGACCCATACGCCAGCCGATTCATCGAATAAATACATAACTCACCGCGAAAGAATACAATCTGAAACCGCCAGGAAAATTCTAGGCGAGTACTGAAGAGACTACAGAATTATACCATGGATCTCTACCGATATATAAGGCCGGCTCTCGCCAAGAGAGGGCAGTTGAATTCAGAAAGTGAATCGAGCGGTTAAACAAGGAATTCAAATAGTGGAAATAAATTAAGAGTTATTTGCTGAGTGTTGTGAATAAATTAGTTTGTGATAGTGAAATATTATTAGCAATAAATTTGTTCAAGTAATTCGTTAAATTGTTACAATTTCTATTATTGTGAATCCACAATTTAAAATTATTATCCATATCATAATCTAGTAACACTCTATCCATCCAAGCAACGTATTGCTCCAAAACATTATCATGCATAGTGATCTCCCAGATAATGCTGCTTGTACAGAGTCGCACTAAAAGCGACTGTTTTTTTTTGATAATATGTGGCTGAGTATAGTTTTTTATGTCCACCCAAATTAGCTCTGTTGGGTTGACCTCGTAGTGGCAAAGAAAAAGACGTATTACTATTCTTTTATGTGCCATAGCGATTTCGTCAACAATGTATTTATTATATTTGATTTTATGTTCATTCACTATCCTTGAAAGTTCTGCTCTTACCATGTTATCCTCGGAGGATATACTTGTCAAATGTATCCAGTCTTGAATTACAGTTTTTTTGTGCCTGTAGTAGCAGTTTCTTTAGCTTTTTTGGAATGGTATGTAGCGTTGTCCAAAAAAATCATCAATTCTCTTCTAGTTTTGTAACTATGTTCCCAAAGCATTTCTCAGAAGATAGGCCATCTATTTCCTCATGATAGTCGCCCGTTTCCTTCGACTCAAAGGCCCACAAGGCGTCGGGGACATAACCTGTTTTGCTTCTTATATGACATACTATCAACGTTTCTTTCTTTTCCTGGGAAGAGATTTATTTCATGTCTTGACTCATACAGATTTTTGGGCATACTTACAATTTTCTTTTAAACTGACAACTCTTCAGAATTTAATAATCCTTTACTTCGCCCAGGTCGGGACCATTCTAAGTTATGGGATATGCCTGTAGATAAATTCATCATTTGCTTGGGTAGTTTCTGTAGCTTGAAAAAAAATCATAAGAAGATCAAGATTGACCATACTTGTCAAAGAATTTTCAAAAAACCTATTACTTTCGCTTGTACGGGTCTATATATTTCTGAAATGTGTGTCCTGAAAAAGAAATACACTTAATAGCAGCAAAATTGATACAAATTATATAAAGCTCCAGCTTGAATTGGTGCTAAAATGAAAGTTGTCTAACTCTCTCGATATAGAAAATAAAATATTTTGAAATCAAATTTAGAAATATTCATCTCTTCCAACTACCTACGCCGAAGATTCTGGTAAATGCCTGCCGGAATACAACTACTTTCCTGGTTAATGCCACACTGGATATTGAATTTTATTCGACATATATTTATGCGAAATGCCTCACATAAGTTAGTCTCGCAGATGTTTCTCGTTCATGAAGCAGAAACACCATTCGAGTACATAACCTACCCACCTGTTTCGAGGTGTTGTCTCTCATCACTGCAGAAGATATCCGGATTCCAATGCGACACAACTGCATGTATGAAACCTTCGTCTGAGAGACAGATTGTTAATTAGTAACAGCTCCATCTCGTGAAAAAACCCCAAACGGGAAAGGTTTCATACATGCATTTGTGCCGCGTTGCAGTTGAGCCGTGCAGGAAAAATCCGAGTCCCAAGCACACAGATATTTCCTGCACTGATAAGAGATAATACTGCGAAACTGGTCTGTAGGTGATCTACTGGAATAATTTCAGCATGGTCCTGCTGCTGAATGGATGAGACTAACCTCTGTGACGTGTCTTGCATAAATGTCTATCGGATGTAATTCAATATACATATTAGCCGGGGAAATAGTTATTTTCCAGCAGGTATTTGTCAGAACTTACGATGTAGATAGTTGGGAGCGATAGATATTTTGAGATTTCAATTCGAAATATTAATTTTCTAGCAGGAATGCATCTCTCCTCGATACTGTCTTCTGACACGGTTTGATCTCCCAAAATATTGAAGTAGTAGTAGTATTAGTTAGGTTAGGTTAGGTCCAAAGTGAGTGGGTCTATTCGACCCTCCACCGCAACCCGTAAGGGTTTATTATGGCTTAACGAAGCCGATTAGTACCTGCGTAGATCTATGTATGAAGGTACTTCTTTTGAAATTTATTTCTTCCTTCCTTTCTTTGGAAGATTCCCACATTTTTCTGTATCAGATGGGGTAGTAGAAAGCCAAAAACTTTCTTTTCCAAGAAATTAGTCATTTCTAAAAATATAATCTTTCAAATTAAACTAATATGTAGTGTTGTTGTCTCGAAAACTTCACATTATTGTAGCGTTATTCATGTCTGATGTTTTTTAAAAAGTAATAATTTCAATACGAAAAAACTCCTTCTTTTCGAGCCCTATGTGAGACTTTAATGAATTTTAAAACGTTGAAAACAATTGTTTTTTTTAACATCCTGTTATCCAACTAACCATTCTTGAACAAAATAATTAGATCAGTAAACTACGGATTCAATGATAACATTTACATTTTGAAAATGGAATAATCTTATGAATTCGACAATTTCATGACTTAAGTGTCAAATAGAACTACAATAAAATTTTCCTAAAGAATTATTACAAGTTAAAAAGGAGTCAGCTTACCACTAGAACACAAGCTCCTGAAAATATATTTTTAGGGAAAGCATCGAAATTTAACCTAATAATGTATTCAAGAAACATTTTATTGTGGGATTTTCACTGGGCACCCTTGAAGAAGCTATTGTATAGCGACACACGTGTTACGTTTTTGAAAACTATGTATCCTACAAAAAATACACATTGAATATAAAATCTAAAAGTATAAAATTTCTAAACGTGTAAATAATGTAAAATATATAAAACGTAAAAATGGAAATGTGTAAACGTATAAAAATATGAATGTTACAATATAAAATACAAACTCGTCTCAAATTAAAAGTATTCAAAATGCTAGGTAACGATGAAAAATATATATGAAAATTGAGACATCAATTCAGTAGAATTTGTTAATAGTAATGTTATATTTTCATTTTTTAGCCATTTGATCACTGAAATTTTGAATAACTTGAACACATATTCCATTTTTATATGATCTAGAGCAAGATTGAATAATTTGGTGAAGTTTGAGAGCACCTTGAAGATAAAACCAAAACAATTATGTAGATATATGTTTTTAGGCAGTTGAAATGTTCCGTGCATTTTTGTCTGAAGTATGATTGACGTTTACTCATATAACGTATTTATTGTGTATACAGAAATGAACAAAAAAATGTTGATGTATGGCGGAGTGATCTATCGACAAAACTCAGTCATGTAATTTAATTAAACAGTAGATTGTCGCCTCTGCATTCCTACAGGCATATTTTGCAGATAACCTCCTTTAGTGTACTGGATTCACATGCTTCTTTTCTTACAGATTCCTCCTCTAGCTGCCAAAGAGGATTCAACGACTACTTTTTCCGATGAAATGCCCTCTACTTCCAAACAATATCCATGATGGACTGATTCTAACAATGGACTTCAAAAAATTGTTTTTTTATTTGCGTTTGTGGCCTACTTCGATGGAGCAGTGTTGAATGTTATTCGTATCATCTAGTGATAAGTGATTAAAAAACAAAAATTTCATGTGCGTTCAATGTTACACCACAAGGAAGTATTCGACATTTGATTTCATACTGATGTACAGGGTGATACATAAGGTAAAGCAATTTATGTTTGTGAGTGAAGAGGAGAAGCAAGCAATATTTATGAATATTGAAAAGTTTCGTATTGTTCTGATTTCTATATGTAACACATGAATTTACGGTTATGTTATCAATTGAATTTTTGTCTATGTTCTTTCGTGCTCCATTGGGATCAAAACTGAAATGTGACTTTCTGTTAGTCTATAGTCTGTTTTTTTAAACAATTCATTTTGATTTGGTACTTAGTGAAAATCCATAACGTATTCAAATTACATTTAATTAAGGAATTTAAACTGAAAGTTTAAAAAACCTCAACACATGTTTCACCATACAATAGCTTCCTCAGGCGTGTTCAGTATGAACAGTCACATGCCCAAAGAACAAAAAATTGCAAAAATCTAAATGAAAATATTGAAGGTGCTTAACATTTTGATATATAATAATGTTCCAGAATGTAGTGGGTCCTGTCAAATAGTTGAACGTGGAATTCGAGAATGCATTTGTGATTGAGAACTCTTCAACTATTTCTTAAAATTTCTTCCATTCTAATAATTTGATTGATGGTGTGAGAATGTTGGGAAATTTTGAACTACAATAAATGATGACAGTACAACTTCTAGAAAGTCTATGATAGTTTTCACCTATATTGTTTGAATTTCCACACGAATAGAGTAGTTTTGCTGATTTATTTTACATAACAGACACTTTGTACAAGGAACATGCAGGAAAAACTATATTTGAAAGCTTCCCATTTCCATAATTAATAACATTGATTGATGATTTGAGTTTGACCTATCTTGCATCAACATATTGAATGGTTTTCCTATGAGTATAATAACGTTTCGTCCGCGTATTAAGGGTCCATCGACTCAATTGGCAAATCAAATAAAAATAGCAGAGATGATCTGAGACAAAGTTGACCCTTTTGGTACCCCGTATCTGATATGTTCCGTACGAGATAGACACGTCAGTTTTGATAAATCATGTTCCTATCTGACAGGTACGATCAGCTGCAGGTACATTGTGCTGGTATTCGAATAAAAATTATATGAGTTCAGTTTTATAATTGAAATTTCAGGGTTGATACAATCAAATGCCTCGCCGACGTCTATCAGACTAGCATTGAAAGATGATGCAATGCATCGATTGCATGAGAAGTAAATAAAATCGATCTAAAACCATACTGTGCTTGCGTGGAATTTGATTTGAAGTGATCTATTACTTAGGCTTTTATTGATATTTCAAAAAAAAGTAGAAAATGAAAATGCAAGTGGACAAAACTTTTGAATAGAAAAAAATGCTTTATTCGTACAATAGTTACAATAAATTCATATATTCTACTACTTGGTCTTAGCTTTTTCTTTCCCAGTAATCAAAAGTTATCACAGAAAATCCAGAACTGATGCACTTTAATATCAGTTTCAAATCAGAAGATTGAGTTTTATTGTTAGGATAGAGATCATATTCATTCCACACATCATTAAATATGTTGTGAAGTGTAATTATTAATATACAGAGTGTTTATTAAATATGCGGTAAAAATCTAAGGGACTACTCCTTGGACTATTCTAAAGGCGCGTCCACACTATGTTGAATGTGCTGATCGACAACGGTCGATCGACAAATGTAGAGTCGAATGTAACCCAAATGAAATGGATCTTTCGACAGTTGAATGAAAATAATTGTCAAGTGTGAATGTGTAGAACGTGCCAACAAAGTTTTAAATACGTAGTTTTGTGGAAACCTACAATCACATTGGTACTAATATGATTGTGTTCCTAGCAAAGGTAATTGTTTTATTATTGATATGAACTTCACAGAAGAGCAAACATTAAGTTTTATCGAGATGTATAGAAACCGCTTTTAACTCTGGGACTCTACAAAAGAAGACAAAAAAAAACAAGAACAAAAGGCACGACTTACTCACTGAAATTGCAGTTTCTTTTGGAATTGAAAAGGCAGAGGATGAGAAAAAAATAAAAAATCTGCAATCACAGTTTTCTAGAGAAAGGAAAATAAAAAAGGACTCTCAAAACACAGGCAGTGGAAGAGATGAAATATACCAAAGCAAGTGGTTCGCGTATGACCGCGCATGCAGTAGCAACAAGAGCATCTTTATCACTCATTTTGTTTTTGTTTTGCTTGTTTCATTGAATATAATTCATTTAGAATATTTCTCACTCACTCTCTTTTCACTCACTCTCTTCCCACTCAACTACTCATAGTCGACCGATGAAATACGCCCACACAACAGTATTATGTGTTTGACAAGGCAACTTCGACCTTGTCGATCGGCATAGTGTATTAAGGATATTTTGTCCTTTGATTTCGACAATAATAATTTATTACCAAAAATTACATGTAATGTTTTTTAATCTACAAGAACTGTTGAAAATGTCTACCTCCCGCTTTGATGCAAGAATCCAATATTATCCTCATTGACTTCCGAACTCTTTCAAAAACACCAGGATCACTTACGAGACATACTATTCAAATTGAATGTCTGCAGCCGTTTGTAGTGGTAAGTTATCGGGATAAACTAAAAATAATGCCCTTTCTACACTTGTATAAAGTTATCCATTATAATTTTATGTTTTTCAGATTGTGGAAGGTAAAAAATAACAAAAAAGGTCAATGAAAACTAATTTTTTTCCACAAAAAATGACTTTAGTTGAATATTTGACATAATATCCTTAGAATAGTTCAAGGAATAGTGCCTTAATTTTTTCCGCATGTTTAATAAACACCCTGTATGTAATGGAATCAGCTGACACTTGATGAAAATCCATAATGTATTCAAGAAACATTTTATTGTGGGATTTTCACTGGGCACCCTTGAAGAAGCTATTGTATAGCGACACAAGTGTTACGTTTTTGAAAACTATGTATATCACAAAGAAGTGTTTCTTGAATACGCAATTATTCATGAATTCAACAATTAACTGATGGATGTAGCTATTACTACGTGGTAGGAGATCATCATGAAAAATGAGAAATAATCCTATCTATGTTTTTTTGCCACTTGTATTTGTTACTAAAGTTACTGCAGCTTCGTCCATCTTGTCCACTTTCTCTTTGTCATTGAAGGTTATCTAATTTCTTTTTTAATGTTGAAGATGAAGTGGACAAGATGGATATCTCTGGAGTTGATAAACTTAAGTGTCCAGAGTGTAATAGTGTTTATGTGGTACGATGTGGTCTTAATTTCCCAAAACGGTATGCTGAACATAAAAGGTCCTTCATACTAGATAAAAATGATTCGACGTTTTCAAACCATTCCTTAGAATGTAACCACAAGTTCCCGAATCTAAACGATACGGAAATTTTGCACTATACAAGCAAGAGTTGGAAACCCAATTGTTTGGAATCCTTGGAAATTCAAAAGGATGTAACCTATTGAATGATCAAATCTATCTAGTTTATCCACCGGTTTTCAAATTAGCGTACTCGTATTGTTACAGGTAAACTAAAATGCAGGTACTCAATTAATTTAAGTACCTCTGTTATCACCTAGGGTGTTGAGATATATAAGGGCTAATAATATAAATTATTTTAAGTTTATTGTATAAGTTTGAAAATGTCCTTATAGGACGAAACTGCAGTAACGTTGGTTACAAATACAGGTGGTGAAAAACATAGAGTTTTTTATCTTATTTTTCTTCATTCAAAAATTCTTTTACGTTGTGATGGTTACATCCCTTATTTCATTGTTTACGCCATATTATCATTATTCTCTTGGCTCATGTACTTATACTTTTGCTTTTGCCAATATTTTCATCTTCAATGACAGAATGGAATGTGATTCTTCATGAAAGAATAAAAAATGTACTTTCTGTATCGAGACATATCTTTGGAAGTCAGTGTTTCAGTATTCCTTGGAATTGTTTTTTTTAAATGATATCAAACTACTTTTTATACATACATCGAAGAATATATCAGACTAACGTTGAAGGATTGCTTGGAAAAATATGAGGTACATATACCCCTTTTAATTTGATATCAGAAATTTTATACTGCATTTTGACCTCAATTCCAGTTTTGTTTACTCTTTAAAAATATTTCGAGAAGAGTTGCTTAGACAGATATTTTAAAAATCTATCTCTATTGTAAGCGCAATATCATTATCACTGATATCAAATTTCTTATCAGCGGATTCGACCCTGAAATGGTGATGCAAATAATTCTGGGGTTTCCCCCAATTAATGAATTTTGTATTGAATATTGTCATGAGTTTTGTACGTTTTTGCAAATATTATGTGCCATCCCTGTATACTTGACATTGCCTATTGAATTTGAAGAATTTGTCAAGACATTGGATGTTTATTTTCAATTTTTTAAGGAAACATTGATCTTATTTTTCATCAAGGAATTAATCCAAAATAATAAAATGAAAGAACAATCAACTGTTTATACGCTCAAATGGTGTTTTACTGAGAATCATATGAAAACTTCAAATTCGATATGTTCGCTTGTGATGTTGATATATCAATGTTATGTCAAATATTCTAATGTGCGTTTATACAATTTTTAAATGATTTAGAGAATGTTATATATTTACATATGAGTTGGGGATAGAAAAATAAACTGTTATAATGATCTATTGTTAATATCATTTCCATTTCCTGACTCATTAGAAGGGAAGTATTAACTGAATGAATGATTACCGTGTTGTCCACTGTTCATAATTTCAAGTGATTTTTTCTGAATAATTTTTTCTTCCAGTTGTTCATGATCACTTCTT